ATCTTGGATATGAAACAAGCATTCACAAAGTTTGCCAATCTTTCAAGAATTAGGCCTCATGAAGATAAAAGGGGGTTTGTTAGAAGTGTATTACACAAATCTGTACTAGAAGTGAACGAGAGAGGGAGTATAGCTACGGGATCCTTTCCTTTTTATTATTCGCGATGGAAGGGCAAGAATGAATATTTTCATTGGGCAGATTATGTGGACTCGACTGCAGTTTTTAAACTGTGTAAATATTTTATATATAGTTTTAAAAATTCGATAAAGAAATTATTTAAAATCCAAATTTTCTCATTATAATATTCACAAATGTTTAATATAGAGAAGTTATAATGAGTTTTGTTAATAACGTCATCTTAAAATGATTTTTAACACCAGTTACAAAACTAGGTTGATTCTGATCTGAGTCAGAAATGCGAAAGATTCTGAATAAATTAAGCTGTATGATTTTTTCAAAAAGGAAATAACAAATTAGTTTTTAAAAGGGAAGGAAATAGCAAATTAGTGTTTGAATTGAACTGAGAAATAAATTAGTACTATCAAGTGTAGAAAAATTGAACTAAAATGTGTTTATAATCATATACAATGAGAGAAGAAAGAGAACATGGTTATAGAAAATCTCAATACAGGAATACAGTAATCTTATTCTAATAGAAGTGTAAGGAAATGCAACAGAATTCAGGTGCATGGAGTTACTGTAATTGTAAGTTTGACGATTAATGGCATTCTTTTGCGCTTATGTTGTTAATTATTTTTGTCGTATGGAATACGTTAAAGCTTAATCTATCTTTAAATTTAATTATGAAAGATACAAACAATATTTTTTTATTCGCAATTGCTTTCCTATTGAATCAATTGAGAAATTACCTTATTATAAAGACCGATTCTATGTATTAATTATTATATAGCGTTGAGTCTTGACAATTCTTGTATTGAATAATGGGATAAGATAAAGCAACACGTGGGCGATCTGTCAAGGGGGTGCTTCCCGGGAGGAGTTTTTATGAGAAACTGACACCTTAGATGCTAGACAAGTGAAGAAAATCCGGAAAACTCCACGTAGCCAGTTCATTGGTCTGGTACAAACCTGCAACCAACTACCAGGGTTTTACCCAAATCGGCCAATCGGCAATTTCTAATGTTTTCTTTAAAACATTAGAAATAATGAAGTGTACTTTTAAGATCGGAACGATATCCCGCTGTAGAAAAACGATATATAATTAAGGCCCATCCAATATGAAGAGTACTTTTAATTAACTTTCTCAAATATTTATATTAAAGTTTGAGTATGTATGTATCTTTTACATATATTATTATTATTATTATTATTATTATTATTACTGGGAAGGTGTTACCCAAATCGGCCAATCGTTCATTATTTCTAACGTTTTCTTTAAAACATTAGAAATAATGAAGTGTACTTTTAAGATCGGAACGATATCCCGCTGTAGAAAAACGATATATAATTAAGGCCCATCCAATATGAAGAGTACTTTTAATTAACTTTCTCAAATATTTATATTAAAGTTTGAGTATGTATGTATCTTTTACATATATTATCATTATTATTATTATTATTATTATTATTACTGGGAAGGTGGTGAAAGCTCGAGACTACTCAGTGGTATCGCTCGAGGGTGAAATGAGAAGGAAAGAGAGGTTTAGGAGAAGGGTGAAGGTGAAATGGAAAGAGAGATAGGATAGGTGGTGAAGGGGTAGGATCATGGGCGCCAGCAACACATTTATTGATGGGAGTAAGAGAGAAACAAAATACAAGATATACAGAATACAGCATATATAATACCTGTGTACAAGGTGGTGGCGCGATTGTAAAACAACAATAGATAGAAAACAGTTGACAGTAGAGTGGCTATTATACAATGTGTTAAAAGTAGAAAACATACATATACGTGATGAAGGGTGAGAGTCCTGTTGAAGGATCTTCGTTAGTTCATATGCGTGTTGTTCCTGTGATAGTCCGCCAGTCGAAGCTTTGCGACAAAGGCTTTAAAGGTAGAGAAGATTTTCTTGTTGTGGAGAAGGGCCTCAAGGGTGCAGGGCCAATGGTGACCCTCTGCCTGAAGCCTGTCCCTGAGAGGGGGCCTGTGGGCCCTGTGATTTGCACAAGTAAAGATTACGTGGTATGGGTCCTCGTCTTCTTCAATTCCGCAATTGCAGGTGCTGCTTCCTTTTTTAAGAAAACGATAGAGATAGGCCCTGAAGTTACCGTGTGCTGTCAAGAGCTGGGTATCTTTTACATATAGAATATTAAAAATTCATTTTAAATTCTTTTATTAAAAAATAAGTTTTAAATATTTTAAAAGTTATTTTTCAATTGATATGATCAGTTATAATATTTATTTAATATTTGTTGTTGTTGTTAAGTTCCATCAAGTCGTCGTCGACTCCTGGTGACTTCATGGACAAGTCTTCTCCATCTTGATCTTTCCTTTGTTGTCTCTCGTAGCTCCTCCAGCCTCATTTCTGTGACTTTCTCGATTTCTTCTATCCATCTTATCCGTTGCCTTCCCCTCTTCCTTCTACCTTCCACTTTTCCCAGCATAATAGTCTTCTCTAGGGAAACTTCTTTACGCATCACATGTCCAAAGTAGGTCAATCTTTGTTTTAAGATTCTTGACTCTATTTTTTTTCTAAAATTGAGATATTTGTTTTCTTTTCTGTCCATGGAACTCTAAGTAATCTTCTCCATACCCATAATTCGAATGCATCAATCATTTTTCTTTCCTTTTTCCTTGGAGTCTAGCTTTCACATTCATATAATGTTACAGGGAAAACCATTGCTTCTACAATTTTTTTCTTAGTATGAATGGAAATGTCTTTATCTTTCATTATCTTGGTGAGATTTGCCATGGCTGTTCTGCCAAGGTTAATTAATTCTCCTTCTAATTTCTCCTTCACAACTTCCATTCCTTTCTATCTTTGAGCCCAAAAGTATGTAACTTTCTGCCACTTCAATTCTTTCACCATCCACAATGAAATCTTTTAACTCTTTGGTTGACATTACCTTAGTTTTCTTTATATTTAGCTTCAAACCAAATTTAGTACTTTCTTCCTTTACCCTTATGATAAGTTTTTCTAAATCTTCTTTGCTTTCTGCCAAAAGGTGGTTGGTATCATCTGCATATCTTATATTATTAATAGTTTCGCCTCCAATCTTGATACCAATGGACTGTTCATTTGTAGTAACCATTTTCGTGATATATTCAGTATATAAATTAAACAGATATGGGGACAAAATGCAGCCTTGTCGCACCCCTTTCTCAATTTTAAAGCATTCAGTTTCTCCATATACAGTTCTTACTTTTGCTTCTTGTTCATTGTAAAGACTCATCAATAAAGATATAAGGTGTTCAGGAATTCCCATGCTCCTGAGTACTTTTCATAGCTTGGAGTGATCCACACAATCAAAGGCTTTACTATAGTCTATAAAACAAAAGAAGGCATCCTTCTGGTACTCTTTTGCCTTTTCTAGAATCCATCTGATGTTGCTAATTTGATCGCGAGTTCTTCTTCCCTTTCTAAATCCAGCCTGTTCCAGTGGTAATTCTATTTCTAAAAAAATTAATTAAATATAATATTTAATTAATTTTTTAATGTTTATGTGAACATTACAGTAAACTACTGTATTAAATACATGCATTCCAAAGAAATTTTCTTGTTAGAAGTATGTATCTCAATGTTAATATTATTTCATGTTAGAATTGACAGATATGTACTGTAATTACTTTTTACACAGAAAAATTATGAATTTTATTGAAGAATTTGCGGTTTTCTTATATCAGATGAATTTAAATCTAACGAGAAAGAATTAAGTCTCGAGCATTATTAATTTAAATAACTCTAGGATTAAATATAAATGTTAAAGTTTATAAAAATGAATAATTTACGTTATTGATTGCCTGATCATTTTATTCGCAAGACATACCTGATTAAGGTTAAATATATCAGTGCTTGTCGAACTTTCTATGTTCAGTGTCCGCATTCCAATTCCTCGTGATCAGTAAATTTAAATGAATAATTTATTTGCTATTACTAAGGATTAAATAGCGCTAAGCACTGGTATAACACTAAGAATTTCATATTTTCAGTGCTGAAAGATATTCTGTTTCTTGCTCGTTCATTCTCAATTTTTTTTTGTAAAATGTAAAAATATTCCTTTTGTATTTTTAAAGAATAATTCGCTTAGACATTGTCAATGTATGAGAGATATGATCATCCGTGTTAAATATTTAAATACTAAACCTTGAACTAGAAATTTACAACTATAAATACTGTAATGGCGTAGCAAGAACAATTGAAAGAAATAACTATCTCTATTAGATAAACGATAAAGGCTTAAATTATCGGTAATTTTACAGTCCAGAATCTAGTAAGATGTTGATATATGATAACAGCTGGCGATATATCAAAAACTTATAAGGCTTTTTTTGCTTAGATAATTTTTATTTAGTAATTTTAAGAAACATATGTATGACGACTCTGATAAATAAAATGCTTTCTTGTAACCCTACATACAGACTAAACTAACTATCTACATAGAATTACCTAAAAATCTAGGAATTTTTAGGTTATTTTCAAGCCTATTATGGATTACACATATTCGAACCCATAATAGGCTTGATCTTAGCTCTGAAAGCCTTCTTAGTGCCCAGCGAAAAAAGTTTTTAAAAGTTTTTAAAGAGCGAAAAAAGTTTTTAAAAAAATAAAAACTTTACGTGAAAATATTCTGTGTGTTATAATTATTGATGATATTTTATATTATATTAAACCAAATTGATTTCAGGATTTATTTCAATAAGAGTAAAATATTTAGTAGCAAATTTTTAAAATTGATACCGGGTTTACGAATTAAAACACAGGAAGATAACAAAAATATATCTTATCAAAAAGTATGTGGAATTTATCTTTACAATTTATATAGAATTTAGGAAATCAAAANTTTTATACAAAATAAACAATTTCAAAATTAGATATTTAACAAGAAATTTCGGCTTTTGGAAAAGTCGAGGCATTCCTGAAGTTCCTCCCATGATTTTTACTGGATCAGTCGGTTTAGACTTCAAAACCGTAAGTTTATTATAATGAAATTTAAATATTTATAATTTCGTAATAATATAATTTCGTAAACTATGCAATTGTATATGCATTTAGAATCAAGGAGTATTGGAGCAACAATGGTACAACAAATATGGAAAAGTAGTTGGGTAACAAAATCTAAATAATATATGAAAATATATTCATTTTATTGGCTTTTATTTAATGTTGAATATAAATATTTAAGTATATATGAAGGATCAAATCCAGCTCTAATAGTAGGCGAACCAGAATTGATAAAGAATATTCTTGTCAAAGATTTCTATGCTTTTTCTGAGCAAAGAGTAAGTTTGTATATATTTTATACTTTAATTATTTTATATTTCAATTTTACAATTTTTAGTAATAATTTTCAAATATTTATTGCTTTGTTGGAAAATTTACGGATTAGGTAATCTTTGCAATGACTTCTGGTAGAAAGATTATTTTTAATGATGCAAGCTCAATGGACGACAGAATGATATTTACGTAATACTGAGGGACTTTGTCTTCTTGTTCAAAAATTTCGTGACGATTTATCGATTCCCCAGTGCCACCGTTTCCATCTTATTTTTTATTTTTATTTTTTTCGTGACGAGAAAAAAGGTCATTACGATTTGAAGCTAAATCTTCTATGTAGAGATAATAGATAAATATAAAGAAAGGACTGCTGTAATTTCTAAATACATCTGAAAAATAATAAATCTGTACTAAAGAAAGTATAATCCACAGGGGCACGGAAATTTACGGGGGCACAGAGTTTTCAGGGAACGGAACGGCTTGGCCTGAAAACTAGTAACTTAGTCGTGGGTTCGTGCCTCTCCAGGACGTGGAGTTTTCCGGGTTTTTGCCACGTCTGTAACGCCTGAATAGGTGACAGTTACCCTTAAAAACACCTCCCGGAAGGTATTCCCCTAGGTAGATCGCCCAAGTGTTACGTAATTTAGCAAAACAAACTAACAATAATCTACAGGAATGTACAAATAGGTCGAAAGTTTATAAAGATTTTATTTAATTAAAAGATTTTGATTTATGTAACTATTTTATTTTTTTGTTTTAAAATAATAATGTTAAAGATTTATATTATAATACTTGTTTATTAAAACTTATCTTAGAGACGTCCTCTTTCCTTATGGTAGATATGCTAACTAAAACAACTGAGCATTGATAAAATGAATATTTTTTTACAAATCTATCTGCTATTTTTAATTTTAAAAAAATCATGATGGCTCTGGAGATCCGAGCGGGTAAATCCCAGAATTTTTATGTGTGGTCCCGGATATATCAGATTCCGTTTTTCATCACCTGGTCATCCCATTGTAGACCTGATCGAGCCTATATTGGCATGGAGAAAAGACCCTCATAGTGCCCACAGACTAAAAACGTCAAAAAAGCAGTTTTAGAGTATGCATGATACCATAAGCACCAATGTGATAAAATTGTTGTAGAAAACACGTTTATAATATGTATAGTTTAATTTTTCTATTTTATAATTGTAAAAATTGTAGTGTAAAATTTTTATACTACATTTTAAACAGTATTTTCGTATTATATACATAAGTCTACAATATTTAAACTTATACGCCTGTAACATTTTCGCTAAGTTTTGCAAAACAAACTTTAGTTTTTTATAATCATAAGTAAATTAAAATAATTAAAAATAACTTATAACTGAATTTTTGGGCTCTCAAAAGGACTTATCAAACAGTATTAATGCAATAGGAGAAATCACACAGATGGAAGAACTCTTGTTATTTATTGTATTAATATGCATACCGTTGTTACAATAAAAAAAACCAGTGTTCTCCATCTCTGTGTGTTTTCTCCTATTGCATCAATGGTGTTTGATAAATTCGCCTGAGAACCAACAACTCAGCGCTTACATATTCAATTATAGTAATAGACAAAAAGCAAATTGTCAATAAAAATAAGTTCTTTATTTTTATGGAATTTATAATTGAATAGATACAAATAGATCTTTTTAATGAAAAATAATAATAATTCATATTTAGCAAATACGTTTTGGTGATCCAATTTTGGACAGAGTTTTTGTGCTCCAAAGTTATCAAAGATGGAAAGAACTAAGAAATATCATTTCTCCTGCTTTTACATCTGGAAAATTGAGAATGGTATTTATACTTTTCTTATTTGTATTATATCAAAATAAAAATAATAATTTGTATTATTAATTTTTCAGATGGTCAAGGATAGTAATTATTGCGCTCGAGGACTGCTAGAAAATTTTATACAAATTGCTAGAGAAAATAGAGAAGTTGTAGTTAATGAGTAAGTGAAAATTTTAGAATTGACAATTTATTTTTTCATTTATTATTGTTTAAAAACTACTATTTCAGTTATTTTACTGCTTTTCTTATGGACGTAATTGCTAAGTGTGCTTTTGGAGTAAAGCTCGATTCCAGAAAAGATCCAAATAATTTATTTGTAGCCGCGATTCAAGAATTAATTGGTCCTATTCCTTGGAGATTCATAATAGCAGGTATGTTATTCATAACTTACAAATTTTATTTGTAGCTATACTCAAATAATTATATTTTACATAATTTTTAAAAATGTTTTTATATTTTGTAATAATTCTTTTATTTTAAATACAAAATACATCAATTTAATTTATTAAATACTGTATGTGGTGTTCCTTGTAGTATTTGTGTTTAGTAGTAAAATTATTTTGACCCAATTGAATTTAAATATTTTGAATCATTCCTTTGTTATCCCTGCTCTAAATAAGTACTCTATTTTTCTGAATGAGCCAGACTAATTGATTACAGTTCATATTTTTCTTTTCTGAACAAGGGGCTGAAGTAGTTACATCGCACACTTTTTAATTGAACTAACTATTCTGGAAGAGTAAAATTGAAGTGGAAATGCTGTCGAATATATGTAGATGTAGAATTTTATCGCTCGCTTTCTCCTCTTATTAAATATTTGTTAAAAATTAATTTTTTATACAAATAAAATATTAAAAATACTAGAGCAAGAAAGTACGAGGGTGGTTTTTTTTCAAGCTCCGATGGTCCATAAAACAAAGACAAATGTAAATAACGAAATGAATTTATTACCAAAAGTTAGGTACAAGCATTGTTACTTTTCGACTTAGTCACCGTGAAGATTGAGGCATTTGTCATATCTGTGGACGAGTTTTTCCACCCCCTTGTCATTGCAAAAAATTTTCAAAATTATTATATCTTTAAATTTTTTGAAGAAAAAAAAATTCAATAAACAAAACACATTTACTTGCACTCTCTCTTCCTCCTCGTTTGTTGCAATGATTTTAATATCTGTTGCCACCAGTAAATTGAGATGGCCTTAACAATATTGTTTTGAAGATCATCATTAATTCATTAGTCTCAAACCACTGCCCTGCTAGCCACGTTTTCAGTTCAAAAAAAGAGGTGGAAGTTTTCAATACCTTTAAACACCCAGCGTATAGCCCCGATTTAGCGTCGAGGGACTTCCACCTCTTTCCTGAATAGGAAAAGTTTCTAGGGGGCAGAGGTTCGAGACTAATGACGATCTTCAAAACAACGTTAGGGTCCATCTCGAATCATTGGCGGCAACATTCTATGACAAGGGAATAGCAAAGCTCGTCCACAAATATAACAAATTCCTCAATCTTCACGGTGATTATGTCGAAAAGTAACCATATCTGTACCTAACTTTTGGTTATAAATTCATTTTGATATTTACACTTGTCCTTTTTTTTATGGACCATAGGAGCTTGAAAAACAGCCTACGTATAAAAGTGTTTGGGTAAATACCCGGAGCTCCTTTTAGAGTTCAAAGTAGGATACCCCTATGAGCGCCTCTGTCCCCCATAAAATGACTTAATATTTAATTTTGCCGGAGTCGGGAGTCGGAGTGGGCCTACTAAAATTATCAGGACTCGGAGTCGAGTGTTTTTTACCGACTCCGCAGCCCTGACCTAAAAGTTTAAAATACTATTCAAAATTGTTTAAGCAATGAAAATGATTTACATACCACTGTGATCAAAAAGTATCGGGAAGATACGCTATCAAAAACAAGAGATTTTGGCTGGTAATCTCCTACAAGATGTTCGAGGAAGGCAGAGTACGCATCAAAGATAAACCACGCTCTGAATGAGCCATTCACTTCAACTGATGAACAACAACACGTCTCTCGAGTCAGAGATTTGATGCTCAATGATCACTTCGCTTCTCGAGTCGTCTCGAAAACTTTGAAAAACGACGTTTTTGAGTGGCCGAGGAAATCCTTCCTCAAAGCGAATCGTTATTAAAAACCTCATCATTACGGGTGTTGAAACATGGATCTACACTTTTGACACCGAAACAACTCGAATGAATGGCGCTTGTTTTCTTCGATTTTCGTGGTGTTGTTCATCACAAATTCCTTCCGACTGGCCAAACTGTCAAGAAAGAATATTATTTGAGCGTTTCGCGTCGTTTTTGTGAAGGAATTCGTAGAAAACCATATAATTTGTGGCGAGAAAACTCTTGGATTTTGCACCACGACAATGTACTTACTCACGATGTTCCTGTTTGTGAATTTTTGTTCAAAAATTCAATAAATGCGGTTCTCCAAGCTCCACTCACCTGTTTTAACATCGATTTTTTTCCCGTTTCGTATAGTAAAATTTCCGCTCTGCGGTCACCGTTTTGAATTGATTGATCTCATAAAACGAAATTTGCTGGGAGTTTTAAAGGGGTTTCACGAATAAGACTTTAAGGCATGTTTTTAGGATTGTAAAAAATGTTGACATAAGTGCATTGCAATGAGTGGGGATTACTGTAATAAGATGTAAATTTTAAAACCTATAGACATTCTAAAATGGAAAAATTAGATACCTTTATTAATATTATTAAGGATTATATACAGTAGGACGTCGTTTATCCGAATCAATTGGGGACTGGGGTGGTTCGGATAACTTATTTTTCGGATAACGAATCATGTACGAAAAAATATATTAATTTATCCCATCTTGACATTTTCTCTCCGTTGCGTGTCGCTTCGCGTTGAATTTTCGTCGATGTTAAGCCTAACGAAGACTATTGTATCGTTAAAAATTATTTTTTTATTTTGTACAAACAAAATAAATTTATTGAAAAATATAAAAACAATAAAAAATTATACTTCAGATGCTAATTTAGTATTAAAAACGTAAAATATTTGAGTAGCCCGAGAAATAGCCGAAGATTGCAGCGCCACAGCACTAGCGAAAATTTAAATTTGCCGACTGGAATGCTTTCGGATAACGGACGTTTCGGATAACCAGCTTTCGGATAAACGACGCTCTACTGTATTTAAAGCGCCAATGAAATGTATTCAGATTTATTAACTAAAAATAAAATTTTTCAGGCTATTTTCCTGGTTTTGCAAAACTTATCCGTATGTCTCTTTTCAACCCACAAACAATTACATATTTTAGAAACGTTGTTTTACAAGTGATAAAAGAGAGAGAAAATTTAAAAGATGTGAGTTAACATTTTAAATTACCTACGAATTAAAAACAAACGTTTATATTAAAATCTATTTTAGGAAGAGAAACCCATGGATTTTCTGCAATTGATGATGGATTTCAAAAACAATCAAGATCGCAAAAATGAGAAAAAAAGTTATTAAATTTGTATTTATATAGTAATAGATACTTTATTATTCTTTATTTCTTAATGTCTATATATTTTAAAGTATTGGACTTAGACGATGTTATTGCCCAATGTGTTCTATTTGTTATTGCTGGATTCACTGCCATGACCGGAACTCTTACATATGCTGCTTATCAATTAGCTGTTAGTCCAGAAATTCAAGAAAAACTTATCGATGAAATTGACCAAACAGTAAAAGATAATGTAAGCTATGATACGTACTAGTATATATGTAGGAAAATGTTTTCGAATAATGAGGTTTAATTAATACTAATTTTTAAATTTTTAAATTTAATAGGAAGAATTAAACTATGATAATATTTCCAATATGAAATATTTAGATGCTTTCTTGGAAGAAGTTATCAGATGTCATACAGTATCAATAAGGTTAACATTATTTTATTATTAGTCTATAAATTTTTATTTTTTGTTGAAATTTATATTTTAAAATTTAGATCTAAGTAAATTGCTCTCTCTCATTTAAACGATATAAAATATAATAGTAAACAGTAAAGTATATAAAATATTTTTTAGAAATTCAGAAGGGATATTTTTAAAACTAATTTTTTAAAAACAATAAATAATTATATTGTTTAAATAGTAATAGTTTAATCAGAATAAAGTGTAATTATGGCAGATCTTAAAATCTACAACGTGTTGATATATCGCGTAATTAATCAATCAATCAAATGTTGCCGCACATTCCGATTTGTTTATGTTATGCAAACTGCAAAATTTGATCTTCGATTTTTGATCTTGTCAAAAAAATTGGAACTTCGATTTATTGAGGCGTGGGAAAATCTTTTCAGACGTGACGCAAAGCAGACTTTGCATTCAAGTTCGATCACCAAAGTATTAAAGTAAACGAAGTAAACGTAGTCCCAATGATAAAATGAATCTGAAAAGATCTGAATGATCTTTCATATTCATGCGTGTCAATGGACGATTCAAGGGCTAAAATCTACGCTCAATAAAAAAAATGCCATATGCCCCTGCAGGGTCGACGCTACCGCGTGGGCAAACTGAGCATTTGTCCAGGGAGGCAAATTTTCACAAATAACGAACTGTGAAACTATTGTAGTACTGTAAATGAAACTATTTTAGCTATTTTCCACTTCTTCAATATTTAAAGATCTTTCGGTCTAAATTCGATTTTTAAAAAAATATTATGATTAATAACACAAAAAAATTATCTCAAAAAATTTTATTAAAAATATTATTTTATCAGGAGGTCACTGCCGTGACTCCTGATAAAAAACCATTTTTAAATAATCACTGACCGACTATATACAAGAATCAGAGTTACCGATTTTCGTGGTTCGATTTCTCCGCCCTAAGCACCTGAAATAATTCCGAATATCTCATTCGAAAGAAATTGTTTTCTTACGTAATGTGCAAAATTTCAAGATTTTTTATGAAGCGGTTGCCGAACTATAAGCAATTGAAAAGTGCAAAAATTGCCAAAAAAGCTGTATTTTCTTCTTCATCATCCGGCAATGCAGACGTTCTTAGAGAAAACTATTGGGTCTAGAAAGCTCAAATTTTAAACTTAAACATTTCTCGTTATCAGTGAGGTACTGGCGGAATTTCTGGATCGATAGGTCATAGTTTTTGGGAGTTTCCCCGTAGAGCTAATTCAGTTTTACGGCTTAATTTTATGCTTATAAGAAAATTACGTGGAAATAAATGAATTTTATTTAAAATGTTACTCGGAATTAGAAAGGTTCAAATTTATGCCAATTAAACCTTTTTATAACGATTTTCTAAATGGCGTAACGAAAGCGTCGATCGGTTGCGCCATTTAGAAAATCGTTAAAAATGAATATCGAAAGCGTTCAGTTGGCGGTCGCAAAGCGCCGACCAAGCTTATGTCTTGACGTAATGATTAGTGATGTAACGAATATTCGGTTACTATTCGGTATTCGGCCTATTTTTCGCTATTCTGCCGAATACCGAATATTTAATTAATCACTATTCGGCCAAATACCGAATACCTAAAAAAATAGGAGTAAGAAATAACAAAAACACAGTAAATTAATCATTTTAGTATTTAGATTTAATGTTATTGGGTTAGTGTTGTTTGTTTATATTTATTTATAACTTATAAGATGCACAAAATAAAAAACAAAATAATATTAGTCACATGTATTCACAATTTATAATTACAAAGATCAGCACACGTACACACCTATTCGTTCGAGAATCGTCGCACATATGGAAATCTGACCCTGCCTATCCTTCTTTTTAAGCGCTCGTTTTTGCTCTTCCCTTTCTCTTTCCTCTATCGCTCTAGTCCACGTATGCCTATGCATATATCATTATACGCGCACACGATACTTTCGATTCGTCACTTTTCCGTCGTAGATTTTTCACTATACAATTACGTGACTCACAGCCTGGTGATAACGGAGAAAAGAGACAGAGAGGACGTCGGTATAAGTCACAGTTATGATTTCACAGATTCGAGACAGCTCGGTAACCCGAACGGCCCCAGGCTTTCGCCCGTGACTTTCATTACAAGCATTTAGCTTTCCGAAGTCTATGACAACAATTGTTTGGCATTGACGGCCGCGAATTTCGTGCCAATAACCTGCCTCGACTTGTTCGATTATGTTAGCGACTCAATTTCATATTTATTTTCACATTTTCACTTCGCAATCCTTCTCTCTTCTTTTCCCGTTATTTACACGTGTAGGTCATTTCATTGTTATCGACATTTGATATCATCACTTATCACATACTGCCACGACGCTCTTGTCTGTCCGCTACAACTGTCAAGAATTAACGCGATTGGCGAAGCGTAGTGACAGCGGGCCAATATTTATTAAGAGCGGGGTCCTTGCCATAATGCGGGTTGCGCGCCAATTTTCGTACGTGCGGTAATCGAGCAGAATAGTTTGGCCGAATATTCGGCTATTCGCTCACGCTCCTGGCTGAATATTCGGCCTGAGGCCGAATATATTATTCGTTACAACACTAGTAATGACACAATTATTAAACAAAAACAATTGCTATTCAAACAAAAACACCTGAGATGTAAAAAATCGCCAAGTAAAAATTTATGGGAATTTAACAAATTTTTCTTGATAGTTTTTCTTTGGTAAAGATAAGCTTGGCGCTTGAAAGAGGTACATACAAGATTTTTTCCTACATTTACTTTATATTTCGCCTTTAACTGAAGGGTCCCCGAGAAAAAAATTTTTTTTGAATTTTTGGAATGTTTTTTAGGTCCCCAAATTTTTTCAAAATTTTTTGCCCGCCCGAAAAAATTTTATTGCAATTTTAATTAGCTTTTAATAAGACTCGATTAAGGCTTAATTGTTTTTTAATGGGATTTTTTTTATCAAATTTAATTCATCATTCTAAAGTTGTGCACGGATTTGACTTCGGTAAAGTTATTTAAAGCTAGTTTCTGATGTCAAAAACGACCTCCAAAAGTTTTTAAATTTTTTAAATTAATATATTTTATTTTATATAAATTTAATTAATTAGGGGGGGTCGGAAATCGCAATTAAAATCTTAATTTTTTAAAAATATAGTAAAATATAGGCGTCGNAAACGACCTCCAAAAAATTTTTTAAATTAATATGTTTTATTTTATATAAATTTAATTAATTAGGGGGTCGGAAATTGCAATTAAAATTTTAACTTTTTAAAAATATAGGCCTAGTTTGTAGTCACCCTACTTTAAACCCTTGTCTTCCCGAAACGTCTATGAGAATGCCCCTGGAAATCCGACTCCAGCTGTTCTCAAGGTCATCCAGCTGTGTAAACAATGACTCATCGGTGTTAAATTTCGCAGAAAGGCGAGACAAAGGAACTTAAACTTCAAAGCTTTTTCTTCAAAATAAACGCATTTCTTTCGTTCTTTTTCAGTTTGAAGTATTTTTTATCCTTTTTTAAAAATTCCATAAAAAGTGGGCGGGTCAGAAGGGGTTAAATTAAGCACCAAGCTTATTTTTACAAAAGAAAAACTGCTAAGAAAAATTTGTTAAATTGTCAAATTCTTACTTGGCGAAATTTTTTTAAATCTCAGGTGCTTTTGTTTGGATATTTTTACCTCTAACCTAGATTTGGGGTTGGAGAAATATCAATTTTTAAACTATTTTATTAATACAGTATATACATATTGAAAAAGTTAAAACCCAATTGGTTTATTCTATCAAATGTTATTTTAAAAAATTCAAAAAACGTTAATAGTGGGAGTAGGGATGATTTTTTACAAAATTTTCGAAGCAAATACATTTATTTTTCGGCAGACAAAATTTATGTGAGTAAAAACAGATTTTATAATTTGGAAGCTTTTCGAGATATGGCCATCATTCCCCTAATTTCTCCCGTAACAATGGTCTGATTTTAGGGAGGTTATTGCCGACGTTTTCATCGTGAAAACGTGAACGTCGAACGTTCATGTTTTCGCGATGAAAACTTCAGCCACAACTTCTCTTTTCTTGAAAACTTCTAAAAATATTTTCCCCTAATATACAAAATTTAGAAATTTTCAACAGACACAGGAATTATTAAGCATTAAATTGGATTTAAAAAATGCCCCTCCCCACATGTACTAACATCCATACACACAGAAAACCTCTAACTTGTTTTCGTGTCTCGATGTTTCAAGTTCTCTTAAGACCAAAAATGAAAAATCTTTGATATCATTAATTTTTTACCGATCGCCATACTTCCCCTCTATTATTTAACAGTCGGAATAATAATACTTTGGAGTCCCCTACTCCAATCATTCTTAAATAGGCTTTAGGAGTGGTTGGGGTGTGGCTACCTGTAAAACATGAATTTATACATATTCGTTAAAATTTTGATCCATTCGGAATTATTCCTCATTAATTTTATTTATTATAATTATTTTCTTTAGATTAGAAAGGACAACAGTACAAGACTATAAGCTAGGCGATACCGGACTCGTCATACCAAAAGGCACACTAGTTGCAGTACCTGTCCATGCCATACATCATGATCCAAATTATTTCCCGGACCCTGAAAAATTTGATCCAGATAGGTAAACTGTAAATATCAATAACAATCTTAATACAAAAGTTTCTAAAAATTTAATTTATTTTAGATTTCTAGCGGAACAGAGAAAGAATATTATTCCATACACAAGTATGCCATTTGGCATCGGACCGAGGAATTGCTTAGGAATGAAATTTGCTCAAACGCAGATAAAAATAGCTCTGGCTATGGTTTTGCAACGTATTAAATTCAAACGTGGAACTAAGACAAAGGTTCATTTGCATGCATTTTGCATTCAAGCATTTTAAATTATAACACAATAAAAATTTTTTTACAGGACAAAATAGAACTCCATATTGCAAGAACATTTAATAGACCGAAGGATACCTATCTCAAGATGGAAGAAAGAAAATGAAAAATCATTTAGTCCATAGTAATAAGCTCGATAAATTAATTTCTTAAATAATTAAAAAATAAAGAATTTTAATTCTTTAAAATTTAAAATGACTTTTTTTTTCGTTTTCGTATCTTTCCACCCTGTGACGGCTTTTTTTCCATACCAATTGAGGGCCGGATGATAATCCGCTTTCAATAAGACGGCCGGATAATAATCCGGCCGTCCTATTGAGGGCAAAACTGCAATTGGTATGGAAAAAAAGCCGTCACAGGTGGACCGACATAGATGATTTCTGGACAGATCGCCCTTAAAAATTTCTTGGAGAAGGTGTCGCCCGGATTCTATCTCGGGTTCTAGAGCGGTAGGCTGATGCCTTGACGCCTCGGCCATCAGTCGTGACAATTAAAACGGCCATCGTTTTAATGATTGAAATATAACAATTACAAGTTTGTGAATTGTTTATTGATAAGAATGTAGAACACGAATAAATTTATTATTGAAAAATCAATAGCGATGTCTTTGTAATTTATTCTACAATTTGATATTTTACACAGTATTTTAATCATTTTAATAATACACAGTATTTTAATCATTTGGCTTTAAATATTTTTTAAATATAAATCTGCAACTAGTCACCATTTTTTTGTATTAAATACTGTAGAAGTTTTTTTTAAAGAATGAAAAGAAATTATTTCAGTTTTATCCTTTTCTTTAATAAAACCTTCTAAATTACCCTATAACCTTGGCTATCGGTTGCCCTGTATAAACCAAAGAAGCGAAAGTTGTAAAGATGTTTCGTATATATAGACCGCAGCCAGGTTATTATCAGGTATGACATTGTTTAAATCTCATTGTACTTGATTTAATCGTATGCTATCTTATTGGCCATTTTTGCAGTTTTAAAATTATTTCATATCAGTTTGATTTTTTATAACAAAATATGTCAACCTTTTTGGTTACTTTCGACAAGTATTTGATAATTTTTTCGCTACTTTCAAAGCAGATTTGTTCATCTCCTAAAAATTTAATGAAAATGAAATAAATATTGACTGAGAAACTAAATCTAGTGGCATCTGAAACTACACTTTTAAACAGTAAATTTGAAATGAATTGGATTAATTAGCTCGAGATATCAATTTTTAATAGATATTTAATTTTGAGATTATAAGCATGCAAGACTCAGTAGAAACACAGCTCAAATGAGGAATAAAACAGAATATCTCTGCTTTAACTGTTTAAAAAAAAATTATGATAAATTGAATTGGATTTGAATCCGAATTCATCATAGTAATACTACTTCAAGGTATAATTCTTCGCCGCTCGATTATCGGACAATGTTATTTAAAGTTATTAATTAAATTTAAAGCTTAACTAAACTTTACTTAGAATTAATTAAGTTTGAATCTTAAAGTGCGCTTCATTTGAATCTTAAAGTGCGCTTCAACCAAGAAGCTTCTCCTTTGTGAAAGCGGCTTGACAATGAATGTAATCATTTGAATTGTTTTCAATTTACGGTTTTTTATGTTTTCACTTTTTCGTCCTGTGGGAACTAAGAGGGTCTTTTTTCCATCAAGAATTCAGCCGGGTGGGCTTCCGGGTGATGAGGGACGGAGTCCCACATATTCGGACGGATCGTCCATAAAAAAGTTTTCGGGGATTTCTCACCCGGATTTGATTCCGGATAGACCTCGGCCGTCGCAATATAGGTTTAATGTACGAAACTACATGACATACTCTAAAAATTGCTTCATCCCGTTACAAGTAAACAAAAATACAGTCATTTAAAGTTTTTGAATCAATTAGAATTATAATTGACACACTCGTGTAGAGCTACGTGAAAGCCTGGAGTAAATATTCCTCCTATAATTCCAGAATAATAATTAATAAATAAAAATATATTTGTAAATGATTAAATATTAATTACAATTTTATTTTAAAATAAAAGTTTACGTCAGAAGTAAATTAAAAACTTTTATTTTAAAAAAATAAATAAAATACAGATATGTTGCCACCTAGCGGGCAAGAGTGGATTAATAGTGTCACCTTTCTGCCCGTTCTAGGTCATGTGGTCTTAGCATAAGAATGACGTAACCGAGACCGAGAGATACGATTAGCTAAGAATAATGTGTGCTTTACGCAAGAACCAGTAACATTTATCGTAAGAAAAGAGTTGGATTCGTCCTTTTGGAAAAAAGCTTCTTTTGGTTAAAGTCGGCTGCTCTTTTCAACATGTCTTTAGCTGCGAAGAACGTATTTTATTCAGCTAATTTCCTCAGAAGCTGTCAATATGTCCTATCAAATGCCACAATACGATCTAGGTATCGATATTAATAGAATTCATTTAATTTCTAATATATTTTTCATATCTTATCTTATTTAATTAATTTAAATATTTTTCTCGTATAAAGAAACGTATACAAAAATACCGGTGTTAAATTAAATCAAAGTTAATATATTAATTAATAATAGGTAATATTTTACACGTCTAATGAAATAGTTATATATTTATAGTAAAGTATTTTATTTTTTTTATTAGTAAAAATAACATTAATTTATAGGGGTAGTAATCGTCTCCGTAGAAAGTCCCCGGCTCTTGTCTTGTATATTTGCACACATACATACATACATACATACATACATACATACATACATACATACAGTTTGTGTATATATATGTACACATTACTATGAATTACTTAAGATTAGTTTAGATAGTGTGTACCACGTTCTATTGATTACATCTAATTTTCAATTTACACAATAGCTTGGCTTCTTGTTTTACGTAAACCATAACCCTAAAGAACCTTTACTTCCGGTGACAAAACTTTAATAAATCGTCAAACGAATGCTTTCGACCTTACCCGAGGTCTGCTTCGGGTTATAGAACGGCTCCAAAACCAGAAGATTAGTATCAGTGATTAAGTTAGAAGATATATAACTTTCACCTGCTGTTATAAAAAATCTTATAATTAAATAAGTAGAATAAAATATAACAGTTCATCTTTATGTAAATTAATGATCTACAAAAAATTTTTGATTGATTTTAAATTTATTGGTAATTAAAAAAATAGTTTTAATAATTTTTAATTGTGCTTTATTTTAATTTGGAATTTAAAACAATTTTCACAATTAGTCAAATTTTAAAAAATACATATTTTGTAATTCAACTTAAAAAAAATATACAATAATTTTCCAATGTACACATGTACGAGGGCTGTTCGGAAAGTTTGTGGCCTCAAATAGAACAACAAACAAAATAATGTTAAAACTTTTTTATTTTTCAAAGTAGTCTCCTTTGTTAGCAATGCACTTATTCCAGCGATGTTCTAGCTTTTTTATGCCATCACAATATGTTGATTTGTCAAGGTGTGCAAAATACTCGTTCACTTCAGAGATGACTTCGTCATTTGAGTGGAATCTCTTTCCAGCCAAGAATTTTTTTAGGTTGGAAAAAGGTGGAAGTCACTGGGGGCCAAATCATGTGAGTACGGTGGATGTGGAACTAATTGGAAGCGAAGTTTGTTTATGTTTTGTTCAGTGATACTAGCAGAATGTGCAGGTGCATTATCGTGGTGGAACAGAACCTTTTTCTTCTTCAAGTGTGGTCTTTTCTTCGATTTCTTTCTTCAGTGTTTCCAAAATTTCACGGTAATAGACAGCATTGATGGTCTTTCCTCTTTCTAGGTAGTCAATAAAGATGATGCCTTTAGCATCCAAAAAACAGGCCATCACTTTTCCCACTGATGGAACTGTCTTTTGCCTTCTTTGGTGGTGGCGAACTGTGGTGTTTCCATTGCTTTGACTATTCTTTTGTTTCAGGAGTATAGTAATGGATCCACGTTTCGTCAGTAGTCACAAACCAACGCAAGAAATCCTGTGAGTTCTTCTGGTAGAAGTCCAAACTTCTACCAGAAAAACTCACTTCTTTGACATAAAAGTATGAACACGTTTTTGCTCGGCAGTCAGCAGACACAGCACCCAACTTGCTTGAGACTTTCGTCATACCCAAATTTTCGGTTAGGATGTGGTGCACTCGGTTAACAGAGATGACTGTTGTCTCAGCTATCTCATGCGTTTTCAAACGGCAATCTGCTAATACCAAATTGTGAACTTATCGATATTTTCTTCAGTGACAGCAGTTGACAGCTGTCCGCTGCAAGGGTCATCTTCCACACTCTCTCTGCCAGATTTAAAAAGGGCTGTCCATTTTTTCACAGTGGTGTAGAAGGAGCAGACTCTCCCAAAACTTCATCCATGTCAACTTTGATTTGATATGGGGTCAACCCTTTTTTCGTCAGGTATTTTATAACCGCACAAGTCTCATCTTCTCCATTTTTGACAAAGTATGTGTACATTGACTATTTGCAAAGCTGTCGTGGCAAAACGTTACAACAAATCAAGTGGAAATTGGTATCGTATCTTTAGCAAAGATGGCTGAATTATTCCCGCCAAAAATTAAATTGTTTGCAGTGCCGCATATAGGCAAGGCAGCAAACTTTCTGAACAGCCCTCATATAGAATTAGTATATTCTTTAGGATTATACTAATGTACAGTACTCCAGAATAATTTATAACTTTTATAGCCTAAGAATCTTTAACGTTAAGTATTAAGTACTAGTAGATAAATTTTACGATGATAAAAATCTTAAGTGTATCTGATTTTAAATTTATATAAGATTCTTAAAGCATAAAAGAAAATAGAATAATTTCTCCAAATATAAAAGACTAATCATTATAGAACGTGTTCATTTAGCTCTGTACTAATGAGCTATGTGAAAAATTTTGTCTTCAGACAGAATTAAACAAAGGATTATTAAAAAAATAATCTTTGAACATGCTGCATATAATCCATGAGCTTAGATTGGATTATAAATTGAATTAAATAAGTTTCAAAGTAGAAAACTTATTATTTGATATTAAAATTTAAATAAAAGCTAAGAATTAGCAAAATAACTTTCATATATATAATATATATATAAATATATACAATAAGTCTTGCACCATAATAAAAAAAACTGAAAATTATGAAATTTGACCTGTGACATTAGAAATGTATTTCAGAAATCAATATTTCAAGTTGCACAGGATTTAAACTAACATTTCATGCAGAAAGGCATTGCAGAATTTTATTAATAGTCTGCATAAATCTATATTGAATCTGATGAAATTTTGGTTTCAATTCTTCTTAATTTTTTATTTCTTATTTTATACTTTATTTCTGTACATATAAGAATGTGGTCATATGGATGGAATAAAATCAACACTATATTTTGCACTAAAAATGCTCACTATTTTTAAAAAACTTTTATAACATCAGAAACACTTTTATTTTTAACAAGGTTCACCACAGAGCTATTACATGTTTTACATTTAATTTACAATGCAGTGCTCTTACAAGCCAAAATAAGCTAGCACACAACATCATGCTAAAGTAAAACAGCATGTGTTTCTGCACAAATAATGGAATGCTTTTATCTGAAATTGCATTTAAAAATGCAATTTCAGATAAAAGCATTCATTATTTGTGCAGAAATACTAAGTCTCTTGTAAAGAAGCCTTAAAGCTTACATTTCTGTAATATGCCAACAAGTCATATATTTATTGAAATGAAACATTTCTTGAGAACCAGTTATACTATCATTATATCAAACATTCTTTTAGAAAATAACAATTATAAACTGCATCATATGAGGAACACTTTGACAAAATGTTATTAAAAGCATTCTTCACTCAAATAAGCTTGTACAGTACATTATTTGTTAGTAGAATGTTATCTGATGATACAATTGTATCTCAAAAAATGTTTTATTCCAATAAATATATGACTTCTGTAATTTAATATACTTTTCATCCTGTTTATATTTATATAAGCAATAAGCTGATTTTCTGTAACTAATCAGCTATTAGAAAATATTTTTTCCTGTCTACTGTTTTTTATAATTATCTAAAAATGCTATACCAAGAAGGAAATATTTTTATTTAAATTTATAAATATATACTACCTTTTGATATAAGGAAATATTAAACTAATCTTATTTCAAATCTACTCTAGTTTTTATCTATATATAATCATTTCAATGCACTTGCTCTTAGTAATGAAATTAGCATGACAAATTACTTAAAACAGATTAACATATTTTTATATTATGGTTTAGAATTCTATGGAAATCTTTAAATTTTCAAAATGACTAAGAATGTAATTTAATTGATAGTAGTCCCTTTAATATAAAATATTATTAAAAAGCGTCTATTACACTTAAATTATAATTTTTTTTAAATTTGTTTTGAGTAACTTTATTTATAAGGTTTAACTTTAGAATTTTTGCTTTTGTCTTTGATAACAAATAAGCAAAACTTCATACAATTTTTCTATTAAAAAGAAATTATAGTATTTGTAAACTTAAATTTTATACAAATAAAACCAGTATCAAGAGTACAATTAGAATGAATTTAACCTTAAAAATATCATAAAACTGAGATTAAAAAAATTATCAGTGTATATTTAATAAGAAAATTTAAATATACAGTATACTGATGATTTTTTTAATCTCAATTCCTATAGAGCTAAATATAACTGATCAAGTTCTGTTTGAAACATTGATTTAAATATATTGAGAAAAAAGAAAAATTAAGATACATAATAATCTTGATATTTGCAGTATTAGGTCTCAAAATTGGAAGTTCTGACTTCATATATATAAATATTGATATATAGACTATAAGATTTCACTATTGTAAGATTTATATTTATATAGTATAATCAAAATAGTATCAGATTTTTGAACTATAATTCTATAGATCAGGGATGGCCAACATGTAGATTGTGGTTGACCGCAAAGGTTTTGAAAGTAGCCCACGAAGCTAAAGTTGAACAATTTGCTTTCACTTAAATTAATGTTTAAAAATCTTAATTCGATAATTTATTCTTACAATAATAGACTGTCTGTGCAACATACCCATACTGTTTGTAATTATCCTGATGAACAATTCAAATGAATGTTAACGCATGCACATATAAAAATCCTAAAATTGTTTGTCCATATTCATAGTTACCTGCAGACTATATTTTACAAAAAAGTAGCCCCTAAGGGATAAAAGTTTGGCCACACCTGCTATAGATCATTCATAATGAGTAGATATCATTGTCATTAAGTTGAAAATATTTCTCAAATAAAAAGTTAAGATTTCATAGACTTATTAATGTATGCTTTTGTTTAAAATATTACGAAGGCTGTTCGGAAAGTTTGTGGCCTCAAATAGAACAACAAACAAAACAATGTTAAAACTTTTTTTATTTTTCAATGTAGGCTCCTTTGTTAGCAATGCACTTATTCCAGCGATGTTCTAGCTTTTTTATGCCATCACAATATGTTGATTTGTCAAAGTGTGCAAAATGCTTGTTCACTTCAGAGATGACTTCGTCATTTGAGTGGAATCTCTTTCCAGCCAAGAATTTTTTTAGGTTGGAAAAAGGTGGAAGTCACTGGGGGCCAAATCATGTGAGTACGGTGGATGTGGAACTAATTGGAAGCGAAGTTTGTTTATCTTTTGTTCAGTGATTCTAGCGGAATCTGCAGGTGCATTATCGTGGTGGAACAGAACCTTTTTCTTCTTCAAGTGTAACCTTTTTTCTTTGATTTCTTTCTTCAATTTTTCCAAAAGTTCACAGTAATAGACATCATTAATGGTCTTTCCTCTTTCTAGGTAATCAATAATGATGATGCCTTCAGCATCCCAAAAATCCGAGGCATCACTTTTTCCGTTGATGGAACTGTCTTTGCCTTCTTTGGTGGTGGTGAACTGTTGTGTTTCCATTGCTTCGGCTGTTCTTTTGTTTCAGGAGTGTAGTAATGCATCCATGTTTCATCAGTAGTCACAAACCGACACAAGAAATCCTGTGGGTTTTTCTGGTAGAAGTCCAAACACTCCTTTGACATCAAAGTGTGAACACGTTTTTGCTCGGCAGTCAGCAGACGCGGCACACACCTTGCTGAGACCTTCGTCATACCCAAATTTTCGGTTAGGACATGGTGCACTCAGTCGACAGAGATGCCTGTTGTCTCAGCTATCTCACGCGTTTTCAAACGGTGATCTGCTAATAACAAATCGTGAACTTTGTTGATATTTTCTTCAGTGACAGCAATTGACTGCCGTCCACTGCGAGGGTCATCTTCCACACTCTCTCTGCCAGATTTAAAAAGGGCTGTCCATTTTTTCACAGTGGTGTACGAAGGAGCAGACTCTCCCAAAACTTCATCCATGTCAGCTTTGATTTGAGATGGGGTCAACCCTTTTTTCGTCAGGTATTTTATGACCGCACGAGTCTCCGTCTTCTCCATTTTTGACAAAGCATGTGCACACTGACTATTTGCTAAGCTGTCGTGGCAAAACTTTTTGACAAATCAAGCGGAAATTGGTATCATATCTCTAGCACAGATGGCTGAATTATTCCCGCCAAAAATTAAATTGATTGCAGCGCCGCATATAGGCAAGGCCGCGAACTTTCCAAACAGCCCTCGTATAGCAAAAATAATAGGAGAAATATTTCTTATATAAAACTAAAATAAATTTAATATTTAGATATAAAATAAAGGAAATTTTTATTACTAAATGATTAGTTATCCATTTTTTAATTAATCTGCATCATGCTTTAAAAAAAATAAATATTAAAAACTAAATTTTACAGAATTTTTCAAGTAGAAATCTCTGCCAGAATTATTTTAAATGGTGTATGTAAAGATTCAAATACTTAAAATTAAACCATTTTTAATTTTTATATAGATAGTTTCTAATTTGCAAAACATTAATAATATAGTAATAATTAATACTAAACTTTTTATTACTATAACCAAATAGTTTAAAAATTAAGGAATATATCCTTTAAAATCCATACTTGAAACCACATATAAAAGCGTTTTTAAAAATTTAAGTTTTTATTAATCAATTTAACACTTTTACTGTTTTAAATTTATATTTAGAATATTATAGAAAATTGCTATCTAAACTCTTGCTTAATTACATCATTATTACTGATGATAATGGTGTTTAATTTTGTAATATAAATTACATATCAGTAATTGCTTCATTTTTATAGATTAAAGAGAGTTATTTGAGGAAAAAATTTTTAATTTTAAAAAATAAATCCTATACTAAGAATGATTTTGATAGATTTTTAAAATTTTCTGTTATGAATTATTTAATTTTTTTTTACTTTTGTATTTACATTAACTTATTTTATTGTCTTATAGTTCGTGGTGGTCACATGTTGAAATGGGTCCTCCTGATCCTATCTTGGGAGTATCAGAGGCTTTCAAAAAAGATACGAATCCAAAAAAAATAAACTTGGGTGTTGGTGCATATAGAGATGACCAGGGAAAACCTTATGTTTTACCTAGTGTTCGGAAGGTAAATATACTTATGTACATATTTTTTAATGTATATATGTAAGCACATTTTATATTAAAAACAATATGTATATTTTTACTTTTAAAATAGGAATGTTCATTTAAATTTTTTATATTCCAGGCTGAAGAGAAAATGTTGCAACAAAAATTAGATAAAGAATATACAACAATAGCAGGTATTGCAGAATTCTGTCAAGCAGCTGCTAAATTGGCTTTTGGTGATAATAGTATTGTGATAAAAGAAGGATTGGTAAATATTTCCAGATTACTCGATCATATGTTAGTTTTTCCTTATTAAAATAAAAGTTCAAATTAAAATCCAATATATTGAATACAATGTAATATAATAATTGGACTGATTCAACTCAAGAAACTAAATCTTTAATGTTCAGTATGTAATTTTCATAAGAACAGATGTTTTTGGCTAATTGAATAATTTTCCAGATATGGAAAGAAACTATCAAATTCTATAAATTGTTTATGAATTGTCTGCACTCCTTAAAGAATTGAGCATATGTAACTCATAACCATAAATTCTAGAATTTGGTATCCTTCATGTATTTGGAACCTTGATGATGGCTGACAGACATTAAAAGTGTAATTTCTTAAGTCTGACATATTTAATGAGAAACTATACTTTAAATTTAACATAATAAATGCATACATTTAATGTGTACTGAATATTAATTTTTGTTAAAACAAAATTTTTAGTTTATTTAAAACAATTTTTATTTGAAAAATACTCTAACTTCTGATATGCAATATATTTTCTAGAGAAGCCCATTTTCTTTTTATAGAAATAAATATTAAATTACCATTTGAAGTTATCTGAATTTAAGAAGTAACAATGTTATAAATTGAAATGTTTATAATTATAATTAATTTTAAGAGCTACCAAACACACATTTCTATTTTTTAAAAAATTAAGATATTGGAATATGTGTACTTTTCTAATAATGGAACAAACTGATTTATTACTTGAAAGATGATTAAATATGATATATTATTTGACAACAAATAAAATTTTGTTACTTTTTGATTATTAATGAAAAGCATTTTTATATATGTAAAATGTGTACTTAGTTAATAACTGATAATTTTAATTTCACAGAATGCTACTGCCCAAGGAATATCTGGAACGGGATCATTAACAATTGGTGCATACTTTCTGGTAATTAGCTTATTTTTTTTCCTGCATAATTTACTGTTTTAACAAAAAAACTGAGTCTTAGAAAAAAATCTTAGCAGATTTAGTAGTTATGTATTATTGCTCATGTCTTTTTAAAATATAACTAATGAAACATGAAGCAATAATACATAATTAATATTTTTCTTATTGTATTTGTATTATGAAAGTTTATACATGATACCATTCTCCTAATGTTTAAAAATTTTTTTATCTGTTTATCTGTATTTCAGCCTTCAAAAACAAACATGACCTGTAAATACAATTCAGTAGTAATATTACTTTGTAGAATTAATGTGAAAACTAAAATGAAAATTATTATGCAATATTTTTATTAACTTGAATTTATGAAATCTGTTAAATATTTTAAAAATGGATTTAATCTTTCATGTTTTCATGGAATCATTAAAGCATTTTTATATTTCTTGAGTTATTTCAGAGCATAACAAGAAATTGTGAAATATTCTTCAAACTGCATTAATAACCTATAATTAAGCTATATTTGACTGACTTTCATGTCAGTGTGTCATATTGACATGAAATGTTTGAATAGAAACAATCTCTTCAGAAAAATATAATAGTACAGTTGAAAGGGGAATAAACATTACTGGGAAAAGGGAAATCTCAAAAAATTGAAATATTTTTGGCATTATAAGGTATCACATTTCAAGTAGCAACACCTCATAGAACACTATGATATCTGAGCTGACAATTTAAGTGCAATTTGTAGAATTTTAAACACATTATTATGCATTATTTTCAATTACAGTATTTTATGCCTTATTTTTTTATTATACAGGTAACCCCCATATAACACGGTAGTTACGTTCCAAAAAATTGCCGTGTTATGCAAAACAAAGAACTAGTACGAAAAGGAGGGTTAGGTTCCAAAAATTAAAAAACATGCTACTATATTTTCATAATTAAGATAAATATCTTTATTAAAATTTTCTTAAGTGATACATATTAATATAAATTAAACAATGTTTTCTTTGTCATCACTAAAAGCACTATTAACCGAGAGCGTTTTATTTTTGGCAAGTTATTGTTATTCTCTGAGCATTTTTCTACATTATTATCAGATTCATGCTTTACCTTTTGCAAAAAGTGTATGTAATTTTAGATTGCTTGCTTCTAGTTAAAAGATCTTTATAAATTTCCTTATATGGTGCTAAGCACTTATGGAATAAGGGAAAAACATCTGGCAACACCAGAAGCAGAAACGTTGAGATCTGGCAAAATTGAAACAATTTTTGCAAAGGACCATATGTATGGAGACGAGAAAGAACATTTACACACTGAAGTACTAATAGTTCACGAAAATTATTATTTTCGTGAACTATTAGTACTTAAGTATGTAAAAATTTATTACATTTCATGTTGTACGAGGGTTTTACCCATTTCTCGAACCGTGTCAGAGTGAATCCGTGCCATAGAAGTGCCGTGTTATACGGGGGTTACCTGTACTTTATTAAATTCTTAATATTTATAATTATGCAATCAAATATATATATATATATAACAAACATTATTTATATGAGTAAAATTATTGTAAATTGCAACCTGTTCTCCAAAGTTGTCAAGGTATGAAATAAAATACGAAAAAATCCCTGCATAGTAAAGGCATATACATCTGTAATAATTTTTTTCCAAAACCACCAGAGAGACATATACATGTATCATGCCTCCAGTTTTCCTTTTCATTTTCTATGCATCACTCTGCACTTTGATCAATATTGTTATACACTTCTATTTGTTTAATATTTAATCAATCTAATAGAAATCTAATAGTCATTATTAGTTGAAATGCAGAAGATTGAATTTGTATTTTGAAAGTGGATGATTTTCTGCTAATTCCATACACTACCATAATGATTTTACCAGATTGTGAATTTTGTTAATTTTAGTTATCTACAGAGAATAGGACCTAAGTGATTTGATAAATATTTTTTTAATATTAAACAGAAAAAATAATATGTTTAAGACAATATCTTCTAAACTATATATCTTTGTACTGTACAGTACATGCTGTGTTTTCAGTCATACTCAAGGTTCAATAAATCCTTCACATAACTTATGTGAAGGATTTATTTGAGGTACATAAAAACCAATCATCTATTTACCAGTATATTAATAAACAACACCAAAACAGAAAAATTAGTTTAAATGACATTTTTGATCTATTAAAGATAAAAAATGCCATTTAAAAAGATCATACACATTAGGCACGTAAACTATTTTTACAGTTTTGGTGTTGTTTACTAATATACTGATTTTATTTGAGTTCTAACAATTTTTAATAAACATGCAGATTATACACTACCACAGGTTATCAGCACAAAAATACAGTAAATTAAAAAGTGGTATCTTATTTCTAACAATATATCTAACAAAGGGAAAGCATGACATTGGGGTCACCAATTTTGATCAAACTCAGTGAGGTAAAAGTGAATCTGCAATGATTGACGTTGCAAGCAGTAAGACACAATACTCAAAATTACAGGAGAAAGTTAAGGTTGAAAATTGAAATCACTTAGAAATTCTTAGTTTTGCCATTTGTAGAGTGGCTGGTGGCTTGGTGGGGTGTGCCAGATTCATAATTGTGAGGTTCATGTTTTGAATCTGTGGTATCAATTTTTTTTTAATACAATACTATAATTTTTAATTCTTAATATAAATTTAAAAATACTATCAGACAGAAAAACTAATTTATTTTTACAAAACTAGAAATGTACAATAAACAGGGTAATAAAACAATAAAATCCATCTGTTTCAAGTAACAATTTGATGTCAAAAGCAATTAATAAATGCTTCCTAATCATATTTATTTAAAAACAAAACACTTCTATATTTTCATGTACCATACATACATACTCTGGCAACAAAGTCATTGTTTAACCTAAATATGTCTTTTGCTAAAGAATGAAAAGATGATTTTAGTATCTCATGCTAACATTGATAGCATAGAAGTTTGTTATAGAGAAGAATCACTGCATGACAATATTACAAAATTTACATATTGTGAAAGCATTCTTCAAAAGCAAAACCTAATTGCAGCCAAAGGTTCTTTGACAATTTCAGAAATTGCAAAGATGGTAGAAAAATACCATTAAGTGCTCTGATATTTCCCAATCTGATACAGTACAAATGATTCTTCTCCAAATTAGTTGATGATAGAGAAGTGTTTTTAAACATTAATCAAGTTCGTTTTTCCAGTGACATATGTAAATCATCATCTTATTGTAAAAATCTGCATTTATTCAATGTGCTCATTGCAGAATGTTTATTGTTTCACATGCTTATACAATTATTATCCACAAAATTGTGCTCACAGAAAGAAAACAGATTGAATAATGTTAATAAAAAATGTGTTTTTTTTTTTATTAACAAAATTGGCCTTGAATAATGATAATTTTGTTTAATCTAATACTCTTCCCAAATAAATTATGGTATTTATACTAACATTTGTTTATATGTACTGTACATTAATATTCAAAAATAATAAATACAATAAATTTAAAAATACCAAAAATAAATCAAATTATAGTTTTGTATTTAAAAAAAACTGCATTGATACCATCAAGATTTGAAACACAAACCTCACAATTATGAAACTGGCACATCCCTACCAAGTCACTGGCCACTCTACAAATGACAGAAATTCAAAAAGTTTTAAGTTATTTGCAATTTTCAACCTCAGTTTTCTCTTTTAACTTGCATCTTGGGGAATATGTATCCAGCAGATACAAGACTTTATTTATTTATTGAATTTCTCAAAACTAAATAACATTTAACTGCAGGCTTTGTAGTAGTCCTCAACTGATATGTTCTGAAGTGATTCCTGAGGTGGTTTTCAAGTTTGACCCTTTTTTCAGAGATATTTTATGAAAAACAATACTACCACCTACAGTAAATTCTCATGCTGCAATAAAATAAATATTCTAATATATTCTACATTTGTTAACTTTTACCACAATGCTATTTATATCTTTTTTCTCCTGGTTTCAATGACTGGACCAATCGCAATTCATTTCAAATAAGTTGTTGCAACTTTTTTGACAACCAGTTTTCTCACTTTGGCGTCATCACCCTGCTGTCTTGCAATCAAAGCATGATAAGAAATTTAATACTTTCAATTTTGCAAGAATTAAAATTTATGTTCATTATATAGCAATACCATTTAGTAATTGTGACCCAAACATTTATTTAGAAATTTTATATTTTTTAAATGATTAAAAATAAAATTATAGAATTCATTACTGGCAATACTAGTTGTTAAATCTGAAAGAAAACATTCACTTGAATGCAAGAAATAATTTATTAGTCATTTGACCCACTACTGACAGAGAAGGGAGTTTACGAAAACAAAGCAACAAAATGATTAGCAGTTTTGTTGATCTTCACAGTGGGGAGTGGCAGAGTCTATTACTTTCTCAGGAGAAAATAAACAAAGCTTTCCTATCCTGAAGTTTNGTTAATAAAAAATGTGTTTTTTTTTTATTAACAAAATTGGCCTTGAATAATGATAATTTTGTTTAATCTAATACTCTTCCCAAATAAATTATGGTATTTATACTAACATTTGTTTATATGTACTGTACATTAATATTCAAAAATAATAAATACAATAAATTTAAAAATACCAAAAATAAATCAAATTATAGTTTTGTATTTAAAAAAAACTGCATTGATACCATCAAGATTTGAAACACAAACCTCACAATTATGAAACTGGCACATCCCTACCAAGTCACTGGCCACTCTACAAATGACAGAAATTCAAAAAGTTTTAAGTTATTTGCAATTTTCAACCTCAGTTTTCTCTTTTAACTTGCATCTTGGGGAATATGTATCCAGCAGATACAAGACTTTATTTATTTATTGAATTTCTCAAAACTAAATAACATTTAACTGCAGGCTTTGTAGTAGTCCTCAACTGATATGTTCTGAAGTGATTCCTGAGGTGGTTTTCAAGTTTGACCCTTTTTTCAGAGATATTTTATGAAAAACAATACTACCACCTACAGTAAATTCTCATGCTGCAATAAAATAAATATTCTAATATATTCTACATTTGTTAACTTTTACCACAATGCTATTTATATCTTTTTTCTCCTGGTTTCAATGACTGGACCAATCGCAATTCATTTCAAATAAGTTGTTGCAACTTTTTTGACAACCAGTTTTCTCACTTTGGCGTCATCACCCTGCTGTCTTGCAATCAAAGCATGATAAGAAATTTAATACTTTCAATTTTGCAAGAATTAAAATTTATGTTCATTATATAGCAATACCATTTAGTAATTGTGACCCAAACATTTATTTAGAAATTTTATATTTTTTAAATGATTAAAAATAAAATTATAGAATTCATTACTGGCAATACTAGTTGTTAAATCTGAAAGAAAACATTCACTTGAATGCAAGAAATAATTTATTAGTCATTTGACCCACTACTGACAGAGAAGGGAGTTTACGAAAACAAAGCAACAAAATGATTAGCAGTTTTGTTGATCTTCACAGTGGGGAGTGGCAGAGTCTATTACTTTCTCAGGAGAAAATAAACAAAGCTTTCCTATCCTGAAGTTTGAAAAATAGTACAGTCCTGTTAACAAATCTGATGTCAATAAGTGAAAATTGAAACTATTTATGAGTTGATATTTGATAAGTTTCATTTTTTGCATTTACAGATCAAATTACAAAAAATATAAATAAAAATATAATTTTTTTTAAGCTCACAAGTATTTCACACTGTTAGGTAGTAGAGAAAATGTAGAAATTGAAGATATAATCATAGTCAAGCAGTAAAAATATCAGTAAAAATAAAGAAAATTAATGCAATTTTTATATGCATCCTGCAGATACAATGTGCCAAGTGAGCTCTTAAAATTTGACTTGTCTAAAGGGGAGTTAATTTTGATTATTGCACCTTACTGCTTGGCACATGTCAGTCATGCTGTCCCTTCAAATTTAAAAATAAAGAATAGTAGTTATGAGACATTTTAAGTATACTATTATACTAATTTATTAAATTGGTACAGAAGTAAAATTTTGGATAAAATTATATAATTTAATGTTTTTACATAAACAAATTTTATTTTTATAGAGAGATTTTTTCAAAGGAAATAAAGAAATTTATATGCCAACTCCTACTTGGGGTAATCACATTCCATTGTTCAAGTAAGTCAATATATTTAATGATAATAATTGTAATAGCAGTAATAAGTGTAAATTGTAATCATGAATATAATAAATCTTATATATCGTAAAGTCTTTGCAAATCCGCACTTAAAATGTAAATTTTAATATTGGCGGTAGACTATCACACAGCTTTAGCCAATGATTTCACTTNAAACTTTTGTATTTTATAGTACTGAAGAGGGACCTTTTTTAGAAAAGGACCGAAATGCATCTATAGTAATAGAATAAAGTGAAATCATTGGCTAAAGCTGTGTGATAGTCTACCGCCAATATTAAAATTTACATTTTAAGTGCGGATTTGCAAAGACTTTACGATATATATATAACAGCAGTCATAAGAAATTTAAATAATAAATCTTGTTAAATCACAACTGATAAGTACATAAATAGCTATGAATTACTTGAAAAAAAGTCAAATCTGATAGTTCATTGTAATGTTGTAGAATACTTTTATTCTATTTTAAAATAATTAATCTGTTCAAAAAATAAATAACATGTTTACGTTTTGATATGAAATTACAAGTAGTGTCATTTTGGTGTTTCTTTATTGTTGAATATTTTAAACTTTTAAAAATCTTATTTAAGAAAATTGTTTTTTAGATTTTACTTATAATTAGTCCATACTTTTTAATAATTAAAATTAGACGTTTAATTCATGTAAATGGACTATCTATCTTTTTCTTTCAAAATTTATTTTCTCATTAAAAATTTATATACAAATATTACTTTAGACGTGCAGGATTTGCTGTAAAACAATACAGGTATTATGATCCAAAAACATGTGGCTTTGATTTCAATGGAGCACTACAAGATATAGCTGTAAGTTTCAGTATTTTTGAAAAAAAATTGTAAATGTTATTAAATTTAACTTAATAAAATCAAAAAATGTTTTTAACATAAAATTATGGATGGAATTTTACGTTTCATTTGATAAAAGTTGACCATGCTTGCACTTGTTCTGATTTTAAAAATGTTTATTCCAGAAAATACCCGAACAATCAGTTATACTATTGCATGCTTGTGCACATAATCCAACTGGAGTTGATCCTAAGGTAATATTTTATTTGGATAGTTATAATGAATTATTTAAATAAGTTTCATTAATTATTTTGTTTTTAGCCAGAACAATGGAAAGAAATTTCTAAAATTATAAAAGTGAGTGCTTATTTAATTAAAATTATGTAAAAATAATGTTAAATCTTAAAACTGAAATTAATGAAATTTTTCCCTTAAGAACCGCAATTTATTTCCATTCATTGACATGGCATACCAAGGTTTTGCATCAGGTGATTGCGATCGTGATGCCATGGCCCTACGTCAGTTTGTAGACGATGGCCACCAATTGGCTTTAGCCCAGTCATTTGCTAAAAATATGGGATTATATGGTAAATAAACAATTCACATTATTATTAATAATAATAATCGCTGCACCAAAGAAATATGTAATAATTAATTCATAACTTGAAATATTTTATTATTACGTAATTTCAGGTGAAAGAGTGGGAGCTTTCAGCATGGTTTGTGAAAATAAAGACGAAGCTCAACGTGTAATGTCACAAATGAAAATCATCATTCGGCCCACATATTCAAACCCTCCCATTCATGGTGCAAGAATTGCAGCCATGGTACTTAATGATCCAGATTTAAGAAGAGAATGGTTAAAAGATGTAAAAGGGATGGCAGACCGCATAATTGGCATGAGGCAGAAATTGAGAGACGGATTGAAGCGAGAGGGATCCACTCGTGATTGGCAGCACATTACCGATCAAATTGGAATGTTTTGTTATACGGGAATGAATCAGGAACAGGTTTGTTTGAATTTTTTGGTTAATGTTACCTATGGTGCCAAAATGACCGCGCATCCAACTGTTTCACCAGCAGGCCACTGAGTGCCAAACGTCACTAGTTACTGAACAAAATAAATTAAAAATAACTACATTTTTTGTTTTTATATTGATGAACCTAACTAAAGTGAGGACATTTTGGCACCATAGGTAACATCAACCAATTTTTTTTAAATGATATTCAAATGTATAAGAGTTCATTACTAAAACTTTCCATTTTCAGGTTGAACGTCTTATTAAAGATTTTAGTGTTTATCTAACAAAAGATGGACGTATATCTGTAGCCGGAGTATCCTCCAATAATGTAGACTATTTAGCCCATGCCATGCATCAAGTTACAAAATAGTAATAAAATGTTTTTAAAAGTTTTCCTGAAATTAGTAATAAAATAATGGAAATTAATATATTGAAAAATATGATTAAACAAGTTACGATGTGTATCATAATGTTTGCAAATATAGAAGAGCATTTGTTTGTTGAAAGTAAACTATTTTGTAGACATTTGTATTAATAAAATCATGTTTTATCATTGTTATTTAATGTTTTGGTACCAATTTCAAGTCTGAAAACAAAATGTTAATTATCCTGAATNCGAATACATAATTAGCAAAAAAAAGTTGAAATAAAGTGATTAAACAAAAATTATTACAAATATCATAAATAACAAATGCATATACAGAGATATTTTTTGAAAGGGGAAAATGGTCTTCACAATTTGAAATGGATCCAACACACAGTGCTCGAACGCTCGTGTAAACGCGCGCCATCTATCGTAGGATAAATGTACTTCGCGGGAGGGTATTAAAAAACTTTCCAAAGTTTCATGGCAATCGTACTGTGCCACAAACCTTCACTGGAGTATATTAAACAACTTCCCAAAGTTTCACGGCAATCAGATAAACGGTGTGGTAATGCATGAAGGACACACACACACACAGACACACATACATTCATTTTTATATATATAGATAATAGGCTTGGTTAGCTGTAAATAATTTTTTAAAATCTTTACTAGTAAATTACATACTGTTTTGTATATATTTGCAATTAATTTTTAACTTCTACATTTTCAAATGTAATTGTTGGATCCGAAAAATTATGGAGTTCTTTGTCATACAATTCTTCTGGCAGAGGTTCTTTGGCATCGTCCGGAAAGTAAGTTGGAAAGGGAGGATGACTTTCTTCAGTGTGACACCAATCTTTTACACTGCTATCAAAAATGTATACAAAAGCATGAGTTGATCCAGGCACTGCTGGGCCTTGTACCCAAATTACATTATGCACAGTGTTAATCCTCCAAATCTGAAATTTAAAAAGAACAATTTAAAATATGATCTTTAAGTAATAAATTTTATCTAGTTCAAGTCCACCACAAACTTTTTGAACTGATTTGTATAATACAATAATAAGGTGATATTTAGGATAAATGAATATTATGAAGATCGGGCTAAGTAACAATTGCAGTACTTCATGTAAAAAAGTTTAAGTTACATGTAATAATGGTATAAATTTAATGAAACTGCACCATCATCCAAAATTGTTCCAAAAATGACAGAAATCAACACTTAGAAAAATTGTAAAACAAAATAGGCAAGCTTGCAACATATTTCAATTCTTGTAATAACTAATTTTAAAAACGATAGTTTATAATTATTTGAACCAGATTGGTTTGGCTGCTTTATATGTAAACCCCAAAAAAACTTACCTGACAAAAAGTTCAACCTGAGCAAAGAAATATGTTTTACACCCAAAGAAAGGCAAAAAATCATTTTCAGTGAGGAAAGTATGTTTTGAGTTGATTTAAACATTGAGGAAAAGTTTGGTACTTGAAATGTAAACAATTGGATTGTAGGTTTCATGAGTCATTAAATTTCTCAATAAAGTCCTGGAAACTCATCAAACTTGTACCCAATTGTAAAAAATGACTGCAAGAATCTAATCCAGTGATTTCCAAACTTTTCGATCCACTGCCCCCTTTGTTCCATAAAGTTATACCCAATGCCCCCTCACCCATTTTCTCTTGTGTGAGAAAGGATTGGAAATATTCTTAGAAAAACTTTTTTATGAATCTCTCACTTTGTGCCCTTACCGTACATTGTTCTCAACATTTGGAAACCATTAAATGCAAATGTTTCCTCTTATCAGTTTAATAGAGGAAAGGGAACAGCTTTCAGTGACCCCAATTTTGCCTTTGGTCACCATTCAATACCCTGCCTCCAGCACCCCGTAGATTTACTCATTACCCACAAGGGAGCGTTATTGCCCACTTTGAGAAATGCTGATCTAATCCAACCAATAAACGATATTTAAAAGAAAGACTTACAAAAGTTTGACATTGGTCAGAAACTAGTCTTGAACAATCATTGATAGTATGCCAAAAAATAAAATAAAATCTGTAATTCATAAGAGATGTGATCCTCATACGTTGGCACTTAAACATCCAACAGATGTCTACTTTAATTTTTTTATATTATTACTCATTTGTTCTTGCTGTTTTAAACAGCATTTTCATTTTGTCTATTTTACTTATTAGCATTATTATATTATTGTCATTTTGTCTACACATCATTGATTAATATTTTAAAAATCTAATAAAGAATACTTTTAGCATTGTTTTAAAAATTACCTACAGTGCAGTCAATCCTCATGTTTTGAATACTTCACTTTTTGAACAATTTGGTTTACGAACAAAATTTTGAATGCCATATTTGCCTTAGTTGCCATACAATAACTTGGTTGTCAAACAAGCTACTTGACAAGAGCCAGCCACAGATTAGAAACACAGACAGTCAACTCCATATACTTCCTGTGTTAAAAAATGTCGATGGCCCGACCAATCAATGATGAGACTGCCAATTCAGAAGTTAGCAGTGCCAAGATTGCCTGCATCATTAGACATCATGACACGAACCAATGATGATGGTTATTCAAATTAGATTTCAATGCATGCGAGGGTAAGATACTACTACCATTTTTTGATAAGCATCGCAAATGAATTTAAATCAAATTAATTAATAAAAAATCATATTAATTGACATTTGTATAATATAAATCACATTCACGAATCTGTGTGTAAAGGTGCTTAATTCAAATTAAATTACAAAAATTTATTTTAATATTTATTAATACTAAGAAGCCAGTTAATTAAAACTAAAAATAGTAAAATAATTAAAACTCTGGTTTTATACTGAAGCTGAATCTGAAACTAAAATTTAAAATAAAATCATAATTAATTAAAATTTAAATCAAAGCAATTGAAACATAATATTTCAGAAAGTGTGGATAAAGTATTTGTGGTCTGTCTTGATTGATTTGGTTATATTTCTTCCAGGCAGAGTTGAATCTATTTATAACACTTTTCGTAAAGTGATGGTTTCGGTTTTGGTTCCATTTGGCAGTGATGGAAAATTTTGCTTTTAATATGTATATAAAATGAATATATATATATATATAGATAATATTATATTGTATTTGTAGGCATTTAAACATAATATTATCTATACAGCTAAATACAGCTAAAATGGTAAAAAAAAAAACACTTTGTTTTGGGGGGTTTGGAAAGGATTAATCATATATTATATTGTTTCAGTCTGAGAACAAATTGGTTTGCAAACAACTTTTAGGAATGAATTAAGTTCAAAAACTGAGGTTTGACTGTACACATACTAATTGTAATTATATATAATTATATAAATTGCAACATAGATATGAGAATGACTTGAAATGTTAGATTGGACTGTAAGAGGCAGTTAGGAGTGAAATACCTGGTTATTAATATATTGTTATGGATAAAATAATTGACTATATTTTTGTTCATGAAGATTATTAACCAAGAAAATTGGCTAGTGCAGCAGAAGTTCATTTCAATATATTATATATATAATTATATATATATTATAATTAATTTTGAATTCATGCTCTTCAAAAGTAATTTCAAAATAAAAAGTTTTATCATCAGAATAATTTTGGTATTTGGTAAATTCATTTTTTATGTGAATTTTTTTTCACGGTAGTTTTTGGCTAGTTTTTAGCAGTACCCCCAAAAGAATTTGACGTATATATACGTTCCTCACCACTGCCAAACTCAATAGTGAGCAATGAATATATTCGTCGCTTACTGCTGAGTGGTTAATTCTAAAACACATTTCTATTCTAGAAAAGAAATATGATATGCAAAAACTGAATAACTGTAAGTTGTTTTCTTTATGTGAGATAAAAGATAATAATAAATTATCTTTTAGAATTTATTTTTATAACAGCAAAAAAATGTTATTATTTTTATTTTTATAACTTTATTATTAAGTAGATTTTACTTAATAATAAAGTTACAATAATAAATTTGTTACACTTAATTTACTAGTTTAAATCAAATTAAATCCAATATCCTTCTGTAATCGAATTATAGCTATTTTCATATTATTTTTTCATGTTATAAAAATTAAAATACCTTTAATCCTCTTAACATCCTTCTTTCTTGTCCCATGTGACCAGGTAATTTTTTGCCTCTCATTACTCCCCTCTTGCTCTATTTAAAGCAAAGTAATATTTAACAACTACATAATATATTAAAAATATATTGGAACTTTTAAGTTATAGAATATATTAAAACATTGAAAATTTTACTTACTCCTCCACCTATATAGCCAGGTTTACGATGAAACTTAGTAGATCCATGCGATGCAGGACCACCTTTAAATCCCCATCTTTTCACAACACCTTGGAAGCCATGACCAATTCTACATTTAAAAATACAATCATTATAAACTAAATTTATAATTACAAAATCAATAAATTCTTACTTACGTTTTACCCCAAACATCTACATAATCTCCAGGCCTAAAATGAGTAGCATATAGTGGTGTTCCTAAATAAAATTAATAAATTTCTTATTGTAAGATTTATCAACAATGTTTATTGTAACTTGTTTTAAAACTAGAGTTTAAATTTATGTTTTAGCATGAAAGTAAAATCAATCAATTCCCTTTTTAATTACAAAAATAAAATTATCTCCTGGCTTAGTATACCAGGAGATAGATTTTATTTAGAAATACGAAATGGATTTGATAATGATTGTCTGAACAGCAGGTATATATATATATATGTCAGCATTTTGATAAAACTAAATGGATTTAAATTTCATCATAGTCTACAAAAATTGATCAACAATTGTCAGTTGCCAAAAACAAACCCCCAGGGATTTATTTTTAAAATATATCTGTCTCCTGGGTTTTTTTCAAGGCCAGAGTCTATTACCATGTAACAAGAGACTAATGGGTAAAAAACTGAAAGAAATGCCTTAACTATTTGTACATTTTTTGAACCATCAAAACTATCTATTGATATATATGGGCTCTCAATCTTATGAACTCAATCACACCTTTCCCATGCTCAGCATTTGAAAATATTTATAATTTTGAACTTTGGAATAAAAAATGCTGTTCAATTCTAGACAATTTGTAGAAGTATAATTTTAGTTAAGCTTGTTACCTGTCACTTTAAACTACATTACCCTATATAATACAATACTTCAATATGTTTCCTTTGTTCTAGCCCAGAATTTATTTTTAACAGCACTTATTTCCTGGGGCTTTTTTTAATCCTGGGTTTAATCAAGAAAATACAGTATTTCTCTTCTAACTTACTATCATATTTATGCTATCATATCTTATCATCATATTTTTTGTGTCATTTTTGGCTTAGTAAACATGGTTATGCATTTTTAATAAAAAGTTAACAAAGAAAATGCAGCTTAATACAATATATTATGGGTAAAAAAAGAAAATAAAATAGCATAAGAGAAAATTATTCATTGAATAAAAACAGATTAACAGAAGATTTAATATTATAAACAAAATAAAGATATTGACAAAAAAGCAATAAACAAATATAAATCAATTACAACAACAATGAACTTGGATAAATGAAAAAATAAATGTATTTATGACTGAAATTAATTTATATATACAGGCATATACTACTAAATATGGCAGGTTAATCATTAAGATGTTTTTTAATTCTTGTTTATTTTTATCTTATGCATTGAGAACTGGTCTTGATGTAATGTATGGATTCTTAACCTATACATTACATCAAGACCAGTTCACTTCTGTAAAACAAAAACTGCCTTAAAGCAAAGCAAGGCCATTTTTCACTTACCAATGTATATAAAAGCCTAAAAACATGTTACCACCAGCATTTATTGAATTTACAGTATAATAACAATAGGCCTATAAAAATGCTGAAAAAGTAAAACTAATGATTAACAAAAAGACTGTAGTATATGCTGTATTTCTTACCATAAAATATTTTTGTCTTTTGCTTAGAGTGACTGACAAATGCAAGCTTAAAAATAATCACATATTTATTGTACAAATGCTGAAGAATATGATAGAATTTCATCATTTGAGTCTTCATGCATTATATTATTTTGAAGGTAAGGCACTTAATAAAGGTGCTTGAGAACTAATCGTCTTGATATTGAAGGCTATCCAACAATAAGCTGCAATGATGTTTGTAAAATCATTTTTGAATTATGATATCAAAGAAGTTTGCTTCCTTTCTTTAAATACTTCTTTGTAGAAGGTGATTTCATTTGACATTATTTCATTAACTTTCTAAGCTTGCATCAATCTGCTTGAGACCTACCAATATCTTTGCTTTTTTGATTAAGGTAACATATTCATTTGATGGCATTTCACTGATGGAGTTTTCATCAAGAGCAGACCCCATTTCAAGTTATCTTCTTTGCTCTTCAACCATAAGCAAATATTCATCTGTCAGAGACTGGTCATGGAATGAAAGTAATTACCTAACATCTTCAGGCTTCACTTCTAGTTTCAATTTCTCCTAGCCATATCCATAACATTTGTATTGATAAAAAGCTGAAAGCATTGCTGCTGAAAAAATTACCTTAAAGTAAAAAGCAAAAGCCTAAATGATAAAATAAATATAGAGTAGAGCATTGATTATCAAAAAAATTGATTAATCAAAATAAGCTTTGAGAATACTAACTCCAAAAATTATGAAGTTTTCAGGCAGTAATGATTATCAGTGATCTTCTGTAGGCTCACTACTGAACCATCTTCTTATTAACATTAGTGTTAGATTACAGTACAAATAGAAGAGCATGATTCACAAACTTCACAAAGTTGAATCACACTTTTCTAATGCATCAAATACTTCACTATGAGGTGCAGTCAAAAAGTTCAGGGACTGATGACATGTGCTACAATCAGCCAGGCACTGAACTTACACAAACTAGGATGCATAACAGACATTGTTATTCAGCTTCCTGTCAAATTTTGTGCCATTATCTTATGTGGTTTCTGTTTCTTGCTATTTAGATTAGATCCATATCCTCACTGATTTGCAATTTTCATTCTTTTTGTAAAATAAATTCTTTTAAGAATCAGCATGTGAGTGTGAAATTTTGTTTCAAACTTGGCAAGACTGCAACAGAAGAAAGTGATTGCAGGAGACAAAACATAAATTTACAGCTATGACCCTGAGACCAAACAACAATCAACTCAGTAGAAAAATCCTGGCTCACCCAGACCAAAGAAAGCATACCAAGTGAGGTTCAATCTCAAAAACATGCTCATTGTTTTTTCAATAGGGAGGGGATTATTCTCCAAGAATTTGTTCATGGTTAAACTATAAATAAAAATTTTTATATGGATGCTTTGAGGTGCTTGCATGAAAATGTCAGAAAGAAAAGACCAGATCTTTGGAAAGCTCAGAATGAGTTGTTTCAACATGACAATGCCCCCCTCACACAAGCTACCTCTATTCAACAGTTTCTCACTAAAAATAAAATGGCCATGATAATTTTTTCATTATTTTTTATCATTTGTATGTATTAAATTTCTGTCTTAATCTTTCTTTACTACAGTACTAAAATTAAAAATTAAGATTGTTACTTTACTTAAGGTATTTATCTTTTTATTCTTTCTCTATGAAGTGTCATTGATTATCTGAAATCGTCCTTCCTGGTTATTTTAGATAATCAATAAACTACTGTAATTGAAAAGCATCACATTGGCAAAATACCATAAAACAGGTTATACCAGTAATTTAATTTTTTTTTTAATTAAATAAATAATTATTTTATAAATTTATTAGATTCATTTTATGACATTTTCTGGAAAAAATGATATAATCTTGAAATAATAAAATGTATGATAAATTGAAGCTTATAAGCTTCAAATTTTAGTTTGTGAGCTATTATTAACTATTTGTAAAAGAACAATTACTAACAATTTATAAAGTAATGTGTTATAAGTTAATTCCTATTACATCAATTCACGAATTATTAGCAGCTTTGTAATATTTTGGCACAAATATACAAATAAACTATTAAAAAATAATAATAAATACAGAAACACTATCATAATTTACTTTTCAGCTTCTACTAAAAAAGGTTAAATAACTATATTTCATACTGAATGAATGCTGTTTACACTATTCGTTAATATGTAATATATAGTATGCATATGTATATTTAATAAAATTAAAGAGAGAAATTATTGGACACAAAATAAATGTAAATTACTCATAATAATCATAAATCAATACATTCAATATTGGATATACCATATTTACTTGTGTATAAGACGATCTTGCATATAGGAAGAGATGTGACTTTAAAGATCAAAATACTCTCTGTCAATTACATTTATGAGTTTCTCTGAATTCTGATTTCCAAATAATCATCTGCTTTCACATGGGAATGGATTAAAACTTATATTGGGCTCCTGTGTGGTTTTGAAATTTCAATTTGGAATTCAATTCAAAAGCTCTGCTTTTCCTATTGTTATTCACCTTTACTCTTGACAAGAACAACTGAAACAACCCAGATAAAATACTTTTGCTTTTAAACACCAGAGGGTAAGCATCTAGTTAAACATGCGAATACACGGTTTACAAAAATTATTGCAAAAATACAAAAAATTTTTCACTCGCATGCATAGGACAACCTAGGTTTTTGAAGCAGTTAAAAATAAATAAAAACCTTGTCTTATATGCATGCAAATATAGTAATAGAGAGAATTTGATCAGAATCTACTATATCCATGATTTTTTATATAAATATAAAATAAAATGCTTTAGTATGAAGCATTTATGTTTTATGAAAATAATTATAAATAAAATGCTAAAGCATTTTTATTTATTAACTAATCATTTATTATTAATTATTATTATTTTA